CTGGCCTATAGCTCTCCTGCTTTATCTCCGATTGCAAACCTGCCCTGGCCTGACCCTCCCCACCTCTTCACCTCACTCAAGCCACACCAGCACTCTGGCTCTGACTCGCACACCAAGCACTGGCTCAAGTTACTCTCTTCCAGGGAATGAATGCTCTTCCACACTACAGCTGCCAGTCAAAGCACCACACCTCCTCCCGAGCTCTACTCAAAAGACTCTTCTTCCTTGGAGGAAAATAACAATCCCTCCCGAAATAGCTAGTTCTCTGCTCTCCACCTGGAAACCCTGGCTAGCCTCCACGCCTTCCCCACAGTTTCATAACAGGTGTGATAATTATAGCACTCAGTATAGCTGTCATATATAAGCCCTGTCTACATCAGTGTCAAAGGGACTATGTCTTTTATAGGCTGGTTCCTTCATGCTTCTATCTGGAATGAATGCATCGCACCTTCATTAATTCTTCCTCACTCTAACAGGTTCTTTCACACAATCCCCTCTGGGTTCCACCTTTAGCAGTGCTCTATTAACAATAGAAATGGATTTTTTCAATCCCATTTTCCTCAACACACACCATCTTTCTCTTGATCCAGACACTACTAATGCCCATTTTTCTGTGTGCTCATCCTCCCCCACCTCTGCAAAGCAGGGTACGCTGCAAGGTGGGGTTCAATAACATGGGATAGTCTCTGGCTGTATCATCTATCTCTGCCTGAGTACCTCATGATTATGACAAGTGCCTCAGAAAAACACCTTGAGAAGTCTAGATGGAAACCAATGCCCCATGGAAACACATAAATATTTTACCAGGCTCTGAACAAGACTCTTGCTCATAAATATTTAAACTCCTTGATAGCATAATGTTCAGTGGCTAATTAGAGTCAACTTGTACTGGGGTGGGGAGCTGAGAGGAGGAAGGGAATACAACAATACAATACAACAGCAATGGCAGCAGGCATTCTACAGAGCCCCCTTGAAGGATCTAAAAACACTGAAAATGCTCCTGAGGTCTCCGCAGTTTGCACAGACATTCATTTTCCAAGTGCGCTCCCTCTGGAGTTGGAGGTAGGTCAGTGCCCAGTGGAGCTGTCTAGAGAAGGCACTCACTGGGCTGCAGGCAGGCTGCTACTGCAGTCACAGCCCCCTTAACCTTGCCAAACGTCTCTCAGCACTGGTGGCACGAAGAAGATTTTCAAATAAAGTACACAGGACTCAAAATGAGGCAGACCCTGTAAGAATGATCATGGCAGCTTTGTTTAAAATAGCCCCAAACTGGAAACAACCCAAGTGCCCATCAGTAAGAGAATGGATAAGCATATGGTATAGATAGTAATATGAAGGAATATTATCTTGGAATAAAAAGAAATGAACAACTGATATACTTAATAACATGGATGAATCTTAAAACGTCATGTTGAGCAAAAAGAAGTCAAATGTAAAAGTCCATCAGTGTGAATGCATTTATATGGATGTTTAAGAATGCAAAATGAATCTATAATGATACGGATTATAACAAAGTTTGCTTAGGGATGGTGGGGATGACCAGAAAGGGGCATGAGGGAAATTTCTGGGATTGAATTTTTTTTATATCTTGTTTGGAATGTGGATTTGTCAAAACTGGTGGAGCTCCTAGCATAGGATTCAGCTTTGCAATGCTGTGAGGGGGGTGCCTGGGTGGCTCAGTTGGTTAAGCGTTTGCCTTCGGCTCAGGTCATGATCCCAGGATCCTGCTCAGTGGGGAGACTGCTTCTCCCTCTCCTCTCCATTTGTGCTCTCTGTCACTATCTCTGTCTCTCTCTCTCAAATAAATAAATAAAATCTTTTAAAAAAGAAGCACTGTGAGGATAAAAGAGGCCACTGATCTCCAGGATCATCATTTACCCATAAAGTATTGATTGACCTGAATTACCTAAAAGGACTTCTAGTATTTTACCAAGGGTTCTGCAACCTTTATGGGAGTTAATGCCTTGTTTGTGTCATTTAATTATCTAATTAATTCAACATTTATTAATTGCTTATAATATGCCAAACAGGAACATAGCCATGAACACAACAAAAAAATTCTTGTCCTTATGGAGCTGATATTTAAGTGGGGGGATACTGGACATTAACAAAGAAACAGTTATACTATATAATGCCAGGCAATGAAAAAGCAATGAAGAAATAAAGCAGGGTCAGAGGGCGGGGAGTGACAAAGGCCTGATTTGGATCAGGTGGTCAGGGAAGGCCTGATCAAGGAGGTCACATCTGAAAAGAGACCTGAATGAATTGAGGACAGAAGCAGTGCAAGTATCTGAAGGAAGAGTGTCCAGGCAGAAGGAAGAACAAGAGAGGGGAGAGTAACAGAATATGGTCAAACAGGTCAGATTGCATAAGGCTTTGAAAGGTAAACCCTGGAAGAGAGTTGGATTTTATTCAAAGTGTGAAAGGAACCATTAGAGAGTGTTAAGCAGGGAAGTAATATAATCCAACTGATGTTTTAAGAATGGGGAAAAGGAGGAAATTAAGAGATTTGCCTAATTCTTAGGGAAAAGTCAGAATAAGATCCAGATTTTTTTCCCCTTCAAAATCTTAATATCCTTCACACATCTATTTCTTTTTTTTTTTTTTTAAGATTTTATTTACTTATTTTAGAGAGAGAGAGAGTGCACAAGTGGGGAGGGGCAGAGGGAGAGGGAGAAGGAGAGAGACTCTCAAGCAGACTCCTTGCTGAGCAAGGAGCCCAACTTGGGGCTCGAGCTCATGACCCTGAGATCATGACCTGAGCTGAAACCAAGAGTCAGACACTTCACTGACTGCACCACCCAGGCGCCCCCACACATCTATTTCTTAACCACCTTCTGATTCAAGTTCTGTCTGGGACCAGATCACATATTTCTGGATTTCAAACTCTGATTTTCATTAACAAGTTTATATCTTTTTTTTTTTTTAAAGATTTTATTTATTTATTTGAGACAGAGAATGAGAGAGAGCACATGAGAGGGAGGAGGGTCAGAGGGAGAAGCAGACTCCCTGCCGAGCAGGGAGCCCGATGCGGGACTCGATCCCGGGACTCCAGGATCATGACCTGAGCCGAAGGCAGTCGCTTAATCAACTGAGCCACCCAGGCGCCCAACAAGTTTATATCTTAAGATAGTTATAAGTTTATAAACAGTGAGATAGGTAATTTTTCTGTATGTTGGAAATTTTTTCATAATAAATTGTTGGAGATAAAAAAAAAGAGAGGTAGGGATTTGCATCCTTTATTGGGCAAAATAAATCAGCAACTAAATATGAATGTTATAATTCCCAACACCTTTCTGCAAAATAAAGGTTCTGATTTTTAACTAAATATGGAACATTCCTTCCAACTTTCAAATCCAACTTCTCTGCCCAAGTCAGTCCATGTTCCACTGTCTCTGTGGCAAGTCAGAGCCTTGGTGCTTCTTTCTTCTCTTCCCCACTGCCCCTAATGATTCTGAAAACCTACAAGGGAGTGCAATTAAATGTGAATTTGTGGGGTGGGAAGGTAGACTCCTTCAACCCCACCTGGAAATGCCCTTATGTTCAGACAACACAAAAGGAAATATTAAAATCCTCAGCAGGAAACAAATTGTAAGCATCTATTGTCCTCCCCAGAGAATCTCTTTCCTTCAATCATTATTTTCCCACTCTTTTGAGAGCCTTCTAGGCTGGAAGTCTGTGGCTTCATCCCATTCACCCCTTAGATCCCCCTAGGCCACAACTCTGCTTTCACTAGACTTGATGTTCTCTATCCCCAGGCTACCATAACTCTGCCTCTGACCAGGCTCTGACGTTATTGAGGAAGAGGGGGAAGCTAAAAGCTGGTGGTAGAAGAGAAGGGGAAATACTGGGAGCACTCCAGAGACAATGGTGGCCCTGAGGTAGAATTAGGCTGCCAAAATGGAGACCAGAGTGCCCCCCACCCCCACACTTCCGCAACTGTAACTCAAGTAAAGCCTGCCAACCCATTTTATTCTACAGACTCAAACGGATTTGCTGCTACCTAGCTTGCAGAAAGGCCTTCTGTGCTGAATATCGCCACTGACGGAGAAAAATTAATTTTCCTTTGCAGGCCCTGCTGCCTAATACAACTATTCAACAATTTTCCCAGCTTTTAACCCCTCCCCGAAAATCTTTCGCTTTCACCTAGGGATGCAATAATTTAATGTTATCCTCTATATCCTGGCTTAAAGGACTCTACCAAGAAAGACATTTCATTACAGGTTAGGATATAATTTGCCTGCTGTTCATGCATGCTTGTACCTAGAAAACCAACAAAGGAAAGAGTAAGCGCATGCCATGACCTCTCCCCCCACAGATGGCTACTCTGAAATGTTAACAAAACTCAACTTTCAAAACAAGGTTGATCTTCGGCAGTAGCACGCGTATACTTAGATATACACCATTCAAACATCAAGTTCTAACTAGTGGCCTCTAGGTAAGTTGGAAACGGGTGCTGGCTGGCGTACAAGGATGCTGCAGTTCCCGGGCGATTCTCCTCTGCCCAGAACAAGGCAGTTTGACAGGCAATGAAACTTTCTCTGTTCGGGACCTCACACTCCCGGTGAGGGAGCCCATCCTCCCCACCAGCCACCCTGCACCCTGGGGTGAACGTGCCCCTGCAAAGCGGATTTGGGGACAAGCTCGGTGTGGAGGCTGTGGAAAACTGCTCCGGGCTCTCTCAATTTCAGCAGTCTGTCTGTCGCTCATTGAACAGAACAGCCACAGCCCCCCCTGCCCACCGAGTACCAGTACCCTCCCCTCTCCTCTCAGGAAATTGCCACCGGCACTCCTGGTGAGCGATCCCGGGCTCGCCTCCCGCTCCGAAGGTAGTTTCTTAACCGTTTCCAAAGAAACCGCCCAGATTCTGGAAGGGAGAGAAAGCCGTGCCCCCTTTCCACTTTCCGCATGTAAGTGTTTGATGTTTTGTGGATACATAGTGTCCACAGAGAGGTCCTACAAAATCCCGAATTTGGGATCCTCGAGGGCGCGCTGCTCACCTCACCAGGTCTCCGACCGCCGAGAAGCGCCAAGCCCGCATCTGGCGGCGGGACGCCCGCGGTCCCCAGGTCTCTCGCGGGTTCGCGGGGCTGGAAAGGCCCGGGAGGGACGGGGGCCAGGGCAAGGGCCAGGGCAGACGGCCGCGCCCATCGCCGCGCCGGGGGCCGGGCG